CTCGATCCATTGTGCACCGGTGCGGTTGGTGGAGGGCACCGCGCTGACTCCGACCTATCAAGGAAGTGGGCTCGCCACATTACACATCTGCGCGCTCCTGTCACTCCGTTGGATTCGCCGCTGAGAAATGCAGCTCCGCCAACCCGAAAACTTACATAATTGGGAATCTCGAAAGTAATTAATATTCGCGTCGTTGCCGAGCAGCTGCGCTCCCAACGACTAAAAAACTCGGTTGTACAAACTGAAAATTTCGATTGGCGTTTTTCGGTTCTAAGGACTGAGCCTTTGGTTATGTGAACCGATCTTTTTGATTATAGAACTTCACTTAAAAAAAAGTTACGAGCTATGTAGACGTACCGACCGTTCCGGACTCAAAGGCCGAAAATTCCAGGTGCTGGAGCCATAATTTCGACTACTCCGGGTACTACAACCGTAACTTCTGGTCTCAGAGGCCAGAACGCAGACGGTATGTCTTTATAGCCCGTAATTACGGAATCCTCGGCCGGAGTTTTTTTTTTTTTTTTTTTTTTTCTTCCAGGACGAATTTCAGTTCCGTGAGCCGAGGATCAAGATCCATGAACCGATGACTCATTTTTAGAACATTTTCTCTACTGGCCGAGATTTCTCTGTTTGATAAACGGGTTCTCTGTTCGTTGTGCTAGATCTTCTGTTCATAGAGCCGGAATTTTGCTCGGTTTATCAAAGAGGTTGGTGAGCGCTCCCAGGGACTCAGACCTCCGCCGAACTGAAAAGCGCCACTTTTTCTTCCGTGCACAAAAATCACACACATCCTTGGCTGAACTCTGATAAAAGGTACTTCAAGGTGAATTCTACCAAATGACGAGTATTTTCATAGAGAATATTTTGATACAGGATGAAAATATGCATGTCTAAAGGCCGGAAATTAGGCCAAAAAGGACGATTGAAAAATTTTCAGTAGGGTGATTTTTCCGAGTTATGACGAGAGACCCTAAAGAATAAGTCGCAAGACTTTCAGTTCGGTTTTGTGACACTAAAGGAATCAAACTAGCATTATAATCCGGTTAATCGACATTATGAACAAAACAGATTATAATTTTCAGTAACTCATTCTTCGAGCTATATTTTTTGACAGCAACATTCTAACAGTCATCACTTTATTTGGTTTGAAATTTTTGGGTGTTTTTGGTCCCCAAATATTCGTAAGCCCTTTCTTTGTGCTGAAGTATCAATAATTGAACTTTTATTTGTTTAGGACCCCACCGCGAGGTTGAGGAGGGAGGTAAATCGGGTGGGGGGCTGGGGAGGGGATGGTCCAAAGTCGAGGGTGAGTCGGAGGGGGGAAAAAACACAAAAATTAACAGTTTTGAAAAACAGACGGAACAAAAACTCGGGTTCATCGGGAGATGACACAATTGAGTCCTGCTAGTGGCGAAACCCTTTTGAAGGGCGAGGGCGCACAGTGGATCGAGTCAATAGGAGAGGTCGGACATAATTTGGAAACTTTAAATGCTAATATCTCCATTTATACAAAATTTTGAAGTTCTAAAAGTGATTCCATTGCTTTTCTCGTGAAATTTCCCGTTAGAGACACCCCATAAAATTTAAAATATGACAAAATAAACATCAAAATTTGCAGTTTAAGTCAAAAATTCCATGTCCGACCTCTCCAATTGACTCGATCCCCTGTGGGGCGTCAGAGGGTAATTTCCTAAAGATGCTAGGGCCAAAAGACAACATGGCAGCGATGTGGGTGACCAGTGCGGCAATCGACTCTTGCTACTCGGCGAACCAAATCTCACGCAGAACTCTCCGAGTTGCCTCACTTTTTTGCAAGCTCGGAGCCACAACCGCCGACGAGGGATTCGCGGCAATGGTGCGGTATCTTGCTACTCTACATTTTTTGCCGGGAATATTTTAAAATCTCGGAATAGCTCATTATACCGGCCTCGGTTACCCACTTTCGTAGTTTTGCAACATCCCGTGAGTGTATGTTTCACACGAGTAGCCGCGAACCTCCGACGCACAGTGGATCGAGTCAATAGGAGAAGTCGGACAAAATTCGGAAATTTTAAAAGCTTATAACTCCGTTTATACAAAATTTTGAGGTTCTAAAAGTGGTTTCATTGGTTTCCTCGTGAAATTATCTCTTGAAAGCACCCATTGAAATTTAAAATGTGACGAAATAAACATAAAAATTTGCAGTTTTAGTTAAAAAGTCCGTGTCCGACCTCTCTAATTGACTGGATCCACTGTGCGACGCTGACCGCGAGTTTGATTCCGAGCTACCAGCATGTGCTTCACGAACACTGCTTTGCTGAGGAAGAACGTCGTATGAGCCTTTAGACGCTGCCGAATTTCCCTTGATAAATCACGAATTTCCTGGTAAACCTATGAATATTTTCCTACAAATGTTTCAAAATATCTTGTTCGCCATTTCACCTGAAGCGCCTGAAAATTTCAAGGAGCAATATTCATACCTTTCCTCAAGAATAAACATTTTATCGAGGGAAATCCGGCAACTCTCGAATGTTCATAAGGCGTTTTTCCTTAGCACGGCAGAACAGCATTTTGTTACGATTATTTCATAGATCCGTGTGAAAAAAGAGAGAGAAAAAATTAAGTGGATACTGAGCCGCGATTCGAGAAATCCTTCATTTGAACTTACCTGCTGAGTGTCTCGACCAAGTGCAAATTGTTCGGATACTCTATTTTTCACAAAACGACGTATCGCAAAACATGTTTTTGGCTCCTCGAGATCTCATGCGATGGATTTTGTGAAAAAAATGGTCAGGCGCCAAGTAATTGATACAGACGAGCAAAAAAGTTCCCTGAAGACATGCTCTCTAAAATGCATCTTTCAAGGTGTGCACCAGGAAAACCGGAAATTACAAAAAAGCGTATTATTTTTATCAGTATAATTCAGTACCAAAAAACATCTCTGAAATTTGGCCCACTGCTATGAATCAATGAAGCAAGTACTTCTCCCTCCCTCTTCACATGCCGCATATCGACGGTGAAACTACCAAACCACGTATCTCGGTTTGCGACGTCGCAGACTTCCTGTCATACTTTATTTTTTAAACGAAAAACTACTTAACATTCAGTCTTGAAAATTTCTGTGATTTTTCCTCTTTGTGCTGAGAAAATTCCGTGAAAATTTCAAGGAATGATATTGATTTGGTCTACTACAAAAAAATAAAATGTAAGCGTAGATTTTTAAACACCGCAAACGAGATACGTGGTTTGGTAGTTTCACCGTCGATATATCTTGTGCGTTAACAGGCCATACCGCAAAAAGAACGTATCCTTTTTACTATGTTCAGCATTGTCCAGCGGACTTAAATTGTCGGTTTCAATGAGTGAGACAAATCCTTGAAGTTTATGCCATCTTTCAGTTGAAACAATTTGTTTAGATACGTATCAAGACGAATCTGTGTGCATCATCGGTTACCGCCCAATACCTAGATGAGGAGTATGGTCATACCTCTGTACGTCTAATGCAGGATACTTTTACCACACTATCTAATAAGTTTCACTAGCTATATGTCCACATGGAATTCTCGGCCGTAACTATTAAAATAAACAACGATTCTTCCATACTGGCATCTAAGGTGATAAAAAGTTTTAAACCATAAAATTCACACAACTAGGACTAATACAAAATTGTCTAATCGAATGAAAAGGTGAAATAAATGATAGATTAATGAAACTAGCCGTCAAAACTTGTAAATTATTTGACGTCATAGAATTTGCCTACTCATAGCCGCAGGAGGTCCATGAGGGCTTAAAACCAATCAACATCGCGGAAACCGAAATTGCCATACTCGCTTCTTTTAAGCGCTTCCTCATAACTCTAGGCAATTGTTGAGTCTTTGGGTCAGATAAATCATAATTTTCAATTCATTCCTTGAGGTTTCCTTCGTTCGCAACAAGTTTGAACTGTCATGTTTGAGGTCGAAACATCCATCACATGAAAATTCCTCGATAACTCGACCCCTCTTCAATTATCCCCGGGCGAGCGAGGGAGCCTCACCTTTAAAATGCACTCAGGTGACACCATGACACCGGATGCAACCGGTCAATTCGCCGAGGGCCGAGCCTCATCAAGCCGCAAATCGGTGATTAATATTCGATGAGCTGACGATTTATTATCGATGATGAGGTGGCGCGACATTGAGAGCGGATTTTCGATGACGCGTGACGTCAAACGGACGTATCCATACCAAAAGGAACCATGTCGCACGCAATTTCTATGCACGTAGGTCCTTTTGGCATGAACACGTTTAAACGTCATGCTCGAAAACCGCGAGCTCCGCCGATGCAGGTTGAACGCACTCGGTTGCAATTCCGCTGATCCCTGCTTGTCGATGGAGCATCGTCCTTGTCGACCGACAACAACCGGCTTGAAAATTGTTATTAGATCAAGGTGTTCCGATCCATTAGATGCGAATTCTTTGAAAATTGAGCGGTTTACTCGATGAGTTTATGCCGCAGTATTTTTAATCATGAGGGCTACACGTGAGCGCCGGTGGAAAATCGTAATTTCCTTTCTCAAATTGTATAACTTAAAACTGTGATGTTACTGTTCACAAACAGCTTTCAGATGCTTAGATTTTATCTGATTTTGAGCGTGATGAATCTATGAAAAGTTCACTGGAAAAAAAAAAAACACATTGGAATCCGAAATCCGAAATCCGCTCAAAATAAGAGGCTTGGTTCTTGAGTTAAGCAAAAATCCGATCGAATCAAGAGTATTTTTTCTTGTCGATGTTTTTAAGAGTCTGGGCTCTAGATCCAATGTGTTTTTTTTCCAGTGTTACACTTTCAATCACTGATAATTTGGAGCTTTTCTTCCTTAACAGCTAGGTCTTAACCTTCAGTCTGAAGTTTGTCATTTTAATCGTCAAACCTGGTGCAATAGAATTGTTTCGCCCTTTACCTTTATCAGCAGCTGTTTTACTCCTCTTAATACATTGAGAAAATTCATTTACTAAGTTTATATTTGTTTTTGATTCTAGATCGAAAGGTATTTCCGGTTCACTATTGGTAAACGGACAACAAAGGGACGAGAAACTTTTCCGGAAATTATCATGCTACATCACGCAAGAGGACATGATCCAACCTATGCTCACGTTGCAGGAGGTGATGATGTTCGCCGCTGAATTGAAACTCTCAGGGGAAACGACTCTAAAACACAAACTGCAATTGGTGAGTTTCATTATCGTTTAAAATTGTATCATTGCAGCTTTGACAGAAAAATAACCCTCTCGTGGCAATGAATCGTACTGTGAACAAGTATTATGCTTTTCCACATATCTCAGTACATTTCTTACGTTGTTCATGTTCATTATGACTACTATGCTATTCGTTAAACAAACTTGTTTTGCATGAATTCGTATTCGCTTCTCTATGTGAATTACGGATAAGACTGAGTGGGGAAGAACTACGTATTTCACCATAGCTATGGATATCGTTAACCTGTTTTTCTCAAAGGGTGGTAGATAAACAACTTTCAATGTGAGATTTATAGAGCAAAGCAGAATTATTTTTCCTCGTCAGTTCATAAATTTCAACCATTGTGCACGATATGACACTCTTAACTGATCAATTGAGTACTACAACTTGGATTTTAGAAGAGGATCACTAGTAAAGAAAACATGAACATTCTTCCGACCTAAAGCGTTTTTAAAAGTAACGAAAACGTTGGTTTCCTACGTGATCAACGTGTTTTTGCCGCTCGAGAATTGCAAGACTTGTCTCAATGTTTTGCCGAAATGTTTTGGTATGCTATTTTAATTTTTAATTTTTTAATCTCCACTCCGTTTTAATGAACGATGACTGCAACATCATTTTTCGTTGCCATCAATGCAAGGAAAAAAGTATCATCACAAAAAAATGAGCAAGGGATCCTGAGAACTCGGAAAAAAAATACAGAGACTTCTTAGACGGTGCGGTAATGCATGGCTTAATAATAAGCTTAGCAAGTTTTTCTATCCGGGCGTTTGAGTCTCCTAATATATGCGAAATACTTGCCGTTGCTATGGAAAACCCTTATTAAAGCAGGCACCGATTCTATCCTTTGATTAAATTAATTTGTACATACTTTCACTTAGAGTGAGTATATCCAATTTTTACTTGATTTTTTAATTGTAGGTGCACGAAATCCAATCCATGCTGGGACTCCGAGAATGCCGGAGGACGAGAACAGAATACCTCTCTGGTGGTCAGAAAAAAAGACTTGTCGTAGCTTTGGAACTTATTAACAACCCTCCAGTTATATTTTTAGACGAACCAACTAGGTATGTACCTCAATTTATATTCATGCAAGTATATTCATATAAATGAAGGCAATGTCTTCTAGAGAAGACATTGCCTGCCCTTTTCGAGTTTTAGCTAGTGTCGTAACCTGTCCAAAAAACATTTTCCTTTTCGCCTCAACGGCAAAACAAGGCCAAAAATCCAAATCAGTTATTTTTCACATTACTAAGGATTGATTGATGTTTTCAAAAGGGGAGGTTGAACTGCGCAAAATCCAGATACTGATTTCTGAATAGAAAATGAAAGAAGAATTCTATTTCCACACGTCGGGAGGCGTTTGAATACTACGCAACGCGCGTTTTACAACTTTTTTCTCCCACCCCCTCTCTTGCAACACGTTATAAAAACACCAGACGGAAAGTACCCTCTATTTTCGTGTGTGTTCGAAATGAATGTTCGTGTATGAATTCGGTCTGATAAAAAAAAAAAAAAAAAAAAAAAAAAAAAAAAAAAAAAAAAAAAAAAAAAAAATACGGATTTATCATCTTTTTAATTTTGAAATAATTTTATACATACTTAAATCGCATTGTTTGAAACGCTGCGTTAAGAAAACCCATGCAGATTCGCTCAAATTCTGTGTTCCTCGCGTTGGACATCTCCTTGGCGTATTCGCACAAATTGCACTGACATTCAAGATGATATGAAACCGGTGTTCATTTTTATTTAATTTTTTCAGTGGTTTAGACAATGTATCGACGTCACAGACATTGAAGTTACTGAGGCTCCTAGCGCACCAAGGGCGGACCATCGTCTGCACGATCCACCAGCCGAGCGCGTCCCTCTTCCAGCTTTTCGACCACGTCTACGTTCTTGCCCAGGGTCTGTGTGTCTACCAGGGCGCCACTACCGAGCTAGTCCCTTTCTTGGCCTCCGCTGGGCTCCACTGTCCCACGCATTACAACCCCGCCGATTTTGGTGAGTACACGCAAATTGGCAAACGATAATTAATAAACGCATGAATGTGACGCCTCGGAAGAGAGGACCAAGTGAATGAACAAATGCGTACAAATTAATTCCATTGCCAATTAATTGCCTACGTTTGTTGCAAGATTGGCATAATGATAACTATTTGCTGTAATTTATGCACACCGCAACAGGACCGAACTTGTCCCTACCGATAATTATTCTGAGACTGATGGCGTTTTCTTTAATACTTACTTGCGATGAAAGAGACATAAAGTCTAAGGTGAACCTTCTCGGTGATTACATGGTGATTTTGTAGCATTTTGTTCACGGCCTTGAGATGATCGCAAGTGGTTTCCGCGAAAATTCATGTGAAAACTGAAAGTCATCAAACTATATTTTGCATAACGTAAACGCAAGATAGGTAGTTGGTTTTCTTTATCTTCCAGGTGGAACCCACAAAAATGAAAGAATACTTTCGAACAATCTCTCCATTTTAACTGGTTTCAATATCTCAACAAATGTTTAGCCTTCAACTTTTCAACATTTTTTTCTTTTCTTTTTTATTGCCTTCTCTTCTATTATAATTTTGATCATTGCAATGAAAACAGAATTGAAATGTGCCATGTCATGCAGCAATAACATGCTACGTTCGAAGATTAAAATACGTTGCAAGAGAGTATAGGAATTACATGTTAGTGTGAGTTGTGGTGAGAACAATATCGCCATGCCTTAAAAAGGCATCATTTGCACAAATGCTGACTCTTTTATTCCACGTGGGAATTTTTTTAATCAAATGTAGTGAAACTCAAATAAATCAGACGTTCCAAACTTTCACGGAAATCACGAACACTTTCTTGGGCAACACAAGCGAAGAATTATCAAAATTGACATATCCTTTTCACGCTTTCTCAAAATTTAAGACGCCCCCTCTATATTCAAAAATGAATATGTTCCTCTCTTTTGAAGTTTTTCTTTTAGTTTTTATTAAATTTTAAATTCGATGGAATGAACGTCATGACTTCGAAACATTTACGAATATGCACATGTACACGTACATGTCAGTATCGAATCGGCAACCAAAGCTCTCACATCAATCATCAGTTTAATGACCCTGCTGAATACAAGGTAAACCTGATTCTTTGGTCCTCTTAAGAGTGAAATAGTGATTGGGTTGGTCAATGACCACTCAAAACAACGGCAAAATTTGTACTCACCGGAGCAATGGAATGTAAAATAGGCATTTCGACACCCTTAATTTACCGAGCACTCACTCTACTCCAAACAACCATTCTCGGAATGTTGCCATTTTTAATGCCCCTCCTTGTCCTCTCAACCCAGAATTTATTTTGTATATGCCTTACTGCATCAAGAGTCCCGAGAGGTCTTCAAACAAGTCGTGACCCGACCCAAGTTTAGTGAGTCCTAATGAACTGGCGCTATGACCGTTTAACCCGTTTTATTCTTTTCTTTTCCTACCTCTGCTGGACTGATATGGACCTTCTACACATATTTTAAGTTATAAAGTTAGCTCCTTTCTCATTTAAAAAACTTGAAAAAATGAGTAAACAAAAATCAGAAAAATTTCCACAATCCTTCGATCCCAGGATTTTAGGCTAGCGGTGCGAACACCAATAGGCAACGAGGATATCGATCGCTCGACGTCGAGCTCGAGGAATCGAAATCCTAACCCTAGATTAACACCTAACCGTGGTAATTATGTTTTTTATGCATAAATTCAACCTTTCCGCTCATGGAAGAAAGAATAATTTACTTGGGTTAAATTGCACGCCAAACGTCACTTTGAATATGAAAATATGGCAGCCCCAATTTTGAAGCTCAGCTCAAGCTGTACACACTTTGAACAGCACAGTGTGGGGAAAAAACAATGCTCGATTGAGTAGTTTGCTGAAGTCGTTGTAGTGCGCAATTTCACTCATGTAGGGTTTTGTTTTTTTTGTGACCGGGCAAAGGAGAATTTGCATGCAAATTTTTTATTGTTCATCTGAAAGCGCTTAAAGAGCTGATTTCACAGTATTTTTCATAATTTTTTCTGTTATGGAAATTAGTATATAAATAGATTTAAAAGTAAAAAAATGCACCACCTAGAGACGTCATCTGGCGGCATTTCCCACTTTAACATACAGGGTGAGCGAAAAGTCCCCGACCCCCCCTCTAACTTTTGAACGAATTGAGCTAGGGAAATGAAACTTTGGGGATGTTCCTATCTCAAAGGGGACCATCTTTTGGGGGGGGTCAAAATTTTGGTCCCCCCCTCAGGGGGGGACGGGGGCCCCCCAACTTTTTTTTTTCAAATGGCAACCCCTATCTTGTGATACCTCATNGACTTTTCGCTCACCCTGTATGTATTGTAGCAGATTAGATCATTTTGTCATATCTTCTCCAATAATTTTTCAATTCATGAACGAAGGGTATCCTCGTGTTCAGTGCACTTAGTAGTTTCCACTTAAACACGAAATTCATCAAATTTCAGACACTAGCAAATACTCTATTTAAAGTTTCCGCAGTCAATGCTCAATAAAAATGTTAATATCTTTGCTAGGAATTTATTTCAGTAGTTTCCGTTGCGTAAATCGTGTTCTACGTGAAATTTTGGTGAAGAATCATGTGTCAGAGTGCTTAAATTTGTGCCTTGTTTAATAGTTTATTCAATTTAAAAAAGCGAACACAGAGAACTTTCCTAACTTTTCTCCAAAAAAAAAAAAAATTATTGGGAGAAACGAGGCAACGTTGGAATGCTCATATGGCGTCGAAACACAACGTGGGTCTTTTGAGCCCCATTATTTGATGCCGCGAATATCCTAACGCGAGTTCGAATCATCGCACAATACACGGTGCAGTCGGCGTCGAACTCATATCAGCGCCTGCAAGACTGCAAGAATACTGCATGCATTGCACCAGAGAGTGCGGTCGGTGTCGAGCGCGTATTAGCGCCTACAAGACTGCGTGAATACTTCCCGCATTGCACCAAACGCAATGCTAGAGTTGTATTGCCGCCGTGCCGGCCGGATGAACGGCGCGTCACACTGCAAAGATGACTCCACGGTGTTCCCTTCCCTGGCTCGCGAGACGCTGGAGCCGCCGTTAAACTAGGATTACGTGTCATCATTCTTGTCTCTCTGTTCCGGTTTTTACCACAATTAAAGGGAAAATAGGTATCCTCATTGTAACGATTCAGAAACTTGGACGGTATATAATTTCCTGTTGTTAGATAAAACAAAATAGAACAAACGAAAATATCACGTCAAAATTTTCGATGCATCAAAATCATGTAAGAAAATACGAGAAAACTTTTCAGGAAACTGGGTGTAGTTTTTTAAAAACAACGAATTAAAAAAAGTGGTAAATCAGAGATAGATTCACTTTTTTTCGTTGCACCCGTCGGCTTCTGAGTCCATTTATCTCTTAAATAATGTGAACACGATTGTTCTACGAATTTTTACGTGTAGTTATTTTCAGTGGTCGGTGGCCGCGTAGCGGCCTGAGGCCCCTAGTAAATAAAGTAACACAGACCACCACGATAAGTGCCGGCCGAACAACGGTCAAAGCGTTGACAGTCATTTATTTGTTGTGTTAAGAACTGAAATTTCCTTCCTTTTAGATTTTTTTTTCTAACTACAAATTGTATTTATCTACTTGGAACAGTAATCGAGATGACGGACGGTGAAGAAGAGGACCACATCACGCTCTTGGCGGCAGCAACCAACAATGGCAAACTCAGCTGTTTTGCGAAATCAAAACCCGATATTCCTGATCTGGACAGCTCCATAGCGCTACCATTACCAGTGCCCCCTATCCACACACAGTTACCGAATTGTGAGTCAAGGCCATCTTTACCTTTCTTGAACACGTTTCTCCTTCTAAAATGGAAGTCAACGTCCATGCATTGAAAATTTCTTAAAATAGTCTATATATTTTCGTTTTTCGACATTCTCCTTAGTCCGGGAGGTCACTGTCAATTTGGTGTCTCAATTCAAAACGAACAGATTTTTAAAAATTGACAGAACTTTTTTCCTGATCTCAAAAGTAAATCAAGTATTTTCGATAAATGCTCCTTACACGGTACTTTTTTCAGACAATGTGTTTTGGGATTAGCTAATATTATTGATTTGGAAGAGCTTCGCCTATGCCTCAATTCGAAATTAGTCATTTTTCCTGCACTCTTGCTACCTTTATAGGGGTTTAGGTCAATAAAATTTCCCAGGTACGGTAAGGCCAACAGCGATTTTGAGATCAGGGGAAACAAGTTTTGTCTCTTTTTTAAAAAAATGTCCATTTTGAAAAGGAGCACCATAACGAAAGCTACCTCCTGGACTAACTAAACAGAAAATTAATGTTTGGCTCTCCTGTAAAATTTGCTTTTATGAAATTACATTCCTCTATTAGACACTCATTCATTTGTCTGTACAGCAATGTAAATTGATCTCAAAACTCATTGATGCTCCAGTTCAAGCTCCTCCCTCTGATCGCATTTTTCGAGTTCAGGACAAACTGTTGGCCCCATTTTGTAATCAAATATTCAGCTTTATACCTACGCATATTTTATTCGATGTAAGGCTATTATTTTATTTATTTATTGATTTTTTAATTTTTGGTTTTTCAAGAAGTTGCACGCTTAAAACTATTTAAAATTCCTCACGTTGAACTAATTTTGTTTTTTCTACAGGGAAACCTCCATCACCGGCACAAAGCGAGACGAGCTTCTCGAGCACCGACAGTAACTGTATCAATAACAATAACAACAACAATAACAACAACAACAAATTAGTCAACGGGATTCTAGCGACTTCGATACTCAGCTATCGGAAGATCAGCGAGAAGCACGCTGAGTCGGAGATGCACTCGAGTTGGTGCGTTGACTTCCCGACTTCTTCTTGGTCTCAGTTCTGCACCATTTGGAAACGAATGATGCTTCAGACGTTTAGGAATAAGGTACGTTATACTCAAGTCTTTGTTTTCATAGTGTTTGCTGCACCCAACACACAGGGTTACCATAGTCAGAGAATACCGGCAAACCCGTGAAATGTCAGGAAATTGTAAAGTCAGGGAAAATCTGGAAATGTCAGGAAAAAATTGTTAAGTCACCTTAATTTGCTTTTTAGAATGGGTTTGACGTTTCAAACAAAAAATTCTTGCCAGAGAGTTATATATAATTATGTCTTTTTATCCATGTGGGATTTATTCAATTGTCAGGGAATTTTACCAAAATGTGTCAGGGAAATCAGGGAAATGTCAGGTACTTTTATTTTCTTAATTCTGTGACAACCCTGGCACACTGCCTTGCCAAAAAAGAGCACAACACGCAGAGGAAAAATCGATTTTTACTGTGTGTAGTTTTATTAACAATGTTTACTAAGCATTGGGAGGTACAGTATTTTGTCAAATTATAACGAAAAACATACGAACGAAATTAATAACAAACGAAATTATAACGAAATTATAACAAATTCAGATAAAAACCTGTTGAAAAGCAAGTTGTGCATGAGACTCATGTAATCGAGCCAAAGTTAAAGACAAAAGTTTCTCTGAAAGCCATTTTTTCATTCATGTGCTCCACCGAAGAAGGCTCAAAAGGACTAGAGTAACCAAAGTGAGAGGGTTCTTCCTTATATCTGTACCGTTTTCTGATTGGTTCCCCAGTTTTAGGCCTTTTGTGAGGCTCCAAGGGCCCTCGTGTAAATGTTTATTGTGGTTCGAAGTTATAATATTTTTAATTTTAATTTTAAATATTAACGTGCATTTTCGATGTTTAAATAAATATAGCGTTTTTCTTTTCTTGACGTAATTTTTTCCTTTACCACACAGGTTGGTCTTAAAATTCAGTTTTACCACCATCTCATGTGTGGGCTGGCTGTAGGCATAGTATTCTGGAACAAAGCCAATGACGGCGCAGAGTTTTTCAACCACATGAAGTTTTGTATGGGTGTCATCCTTTTTCACACGTTCACTCAGTGTATGGTTCCAGTTTTAGCTTGTGAGTACACTATTTGTCTTATATTCTGTTTGAAGAGTTTCGAGGACCTTTGACCTACTATCATAATATCTCAGACAAATGGAGCATCAGGCATTTCATTTGGTCAAATATCGGATAAGTTTTAGTCAAAATTTTGACCACCCACCAAGTTCTGTCTGTTTTCAATGAAAGACCCTATTTCCCAACTTTAGCTCGTATTATTGAAATTGTGGAACGTTAATCTATAGTCTCCACTTACTTCGTAAATATCGTGTAAAATAGGAGAAATATTGAGGTAAATGTTTTTTTCAAACACGGGTGATTCCTCATAAAAGTATCTAATAGTAAACAAACATTTAACATATATGTAAAATTTGTATCTAAATATTCACAATATTTTTTCATAGCGAGAGTTAGTATAAAAAACTCTTATATTTTCAAGCCAGGGAAATAAAAATCAAAGTGTTTGACGAGTTGCTTGATTTTACTCATTCATACGCCAGAGGTGCACACTCTCATACAAACAGCTCGGAGTGGCTCAACACGTATCAATGATGGCGCCAGAAAAACATAAACGCCTTCAATTATTCATGTATGCAATTCATACTACGTCAAAGCAGGGATAGGTGCTTCCAAGGGCTACATTGACGCCGTCTTCTGATAAATACATTCGTCGCGTTCAGGCGGTCAAGTCGTAGTTAAAAGCACATTATTTCAGTTCTGTGTCTTTCCTTTTGTTCATAAATGTTTAATATGAGCTGCAGAAACAAGAAACAACATTTCAATGTTATTTTTCTTCTTCGTTTCAGTTCCGTTTGAAGTTAAGTTATTAAAACGAGAGTACTTCAACCGCTGGTACAGTTTTAAGCCATATTACTTTGCACTGTCCATGGCAAGGATACCTACGATAGTAAGTGACTTTAAAAATTTGGAGAAAATGAATACATTGTCCTGTTTTTTTCTCCCTCTTCGAACTAAAGAAAATTATTTTTGAGCATGCCATTAATTGGGTCAAATTAAGCTCACAATAAAATGACTCACATCTATCATAAAATTGAGTTAGCGGTTTAAAACTACATGAAATTTATCCGATAGCATACAACACGGGAAACGGGAAATGTGAAACTGAATCTGCCTTCCACCCTAATACGGGATCAAACCTTTAAGCCTCTTTTTCTCAAAATAAATCCAGTGTAAGAAGGCTCCTTTTAAACTCAAAGCGAGTAGAATGTAAAACTGATTTAAGAATGCCAATACTTGTTTATGGGGTTTAAAATGTATTTAACCTATCCGAAAAAGACTATTAAAAGTGTTCGAAATTTTAGTCAAAAAAGTAAAATGTTGGTTCCATTTTATTGATTTTTACTAATTTCTAGAAAAACGGTCTCGGGTCTCACGATAAAATAATGCTGCTGTAACTGAAAAAGAATCAGCTCTACTTAAGTATCTAAGGCAAAGTGATCAAGAATCAGCCTCAGGTGTTGCCTGGTCCCTTCTTCTGTTTGGGTTTAGAAATTCAATGAGTATATTCGTATTCGGCATGAGGGGGAAAATCACAAAATTTTACTAGTTGTGTCGCATAGTTTTTTTTTTTTTTTTTTTTTTTTTTTTTTTTTTTTTTTTTTTGGTGAAAAAAATAAAACCTGAGAGGAAATTAGACAACCTAAGAATCAGGTTGGGCTCGTTGTGGCTAAATCTCTGCAAACATATTAAAATATGACTAAAAAACTACGTTTGAATAACTTACTCAAAAGCCTCTTTGACTAAGATAAAATGTCTGAGGGGCAAAATGAGGTGACTCGTTGATTTAACAAATATTGAGATTATAATCAGTTTTATTCTTTTCTGTTTTTTTCTCAATAGATAATGTTCAGTATGATATTTTTATCATTGGTATACTTTATGTCGGGGTTACCGGTGGAGATGTACCGATTTTTCTTCTTCGCTTTGATTGGAATAGAGGTATCTCTGGTGGCTGAAGGAATGGGACTATTCATTGGCTCCGTATTTAATGTCACTGTAAGTTCCTAAACGATTTGCTGTTGTAATTTTTTGTGTTTTTAAATTAGCTTTTGACGCAAAAGTGATCAGTTTTCTTTCTTTTTCTTCGTGTTTAAGGTTTAGGAGAGAAAGTTTCATGGGGTAAGTAGTGCAGGACAAAAGTGAAAGAAAACCGATATTTATTTTAACTTTTTTGATATCATCATTTTCTAAGGGGTAGTGGTAAGGTGCACTAAGATCTCCGACGAGAATCCTTGACATTCCTTAAGTTCACCCGATCATTCGTCGATTGAGCGTACAGATGTTAAAAAGAACTAAATTAAATCTAATTGAACCGTGTAACATGGACAGGACACCCTATTCAAGAAGTTCCACTTAGATCAATAAGTCTAATTTTGGTACTTGTGATGGTTATCTGGGAAACAAGGAAACAGACCCGATTTTCATTTCAACAAAGCTTTTTTCAGGGTGATGATCAATGTGCCATTGTGCCCTTTGCAGATTTTACGACAGCAGAAGGTATGCGTACCACGTACTATTGCGCTACGGAAGAACGCCGTGTAAAAATTCAGACGTTGTCAAATTTTCTTCTTAAAATATAAATTTACAAGTAAATTGGTGAATATTTTCCTACACATTTCTAAGAGAATTCTATTCGCGATCGGATATAAATTATCTGAAAATTTCCAGAGAAAATAGTCACGACTCTCCTAAAAGGTAGACACTTCATCAGAGGATATCTGGCAACTCTAGAATGCTCATGATATGACATTTTTCTTTAGTACAGTAGTGTAGCTTCGTACTCTTACACCACTGGGTCCCATTCAAAACATCATTTCGTCGCCCCTACGGCGTAAGGGCGTATCTCAATCTCAACATGAGTCCTGTTTCACATATACATTGTATACTTTCTAGGGCTGCATGCGGAAATGAAGATACGCCCTTGTGACAGAGGGATGACGATTTTTGCACTTACTGCAACTTCAGTAGAGTAATATTATCTCCCATTTTTTGGCGTCTCTCGACAATGGAGATGTTGCATGTGTGAGGAATTTGCGATTTGACTAGTGATTCTTACGTAAAAGTTCGCGAGAAACACGATGGTGCTACTGGTTTTCTCTGAAATCAACTCCCAAGCTCAAAAAAAGCTCTCAAGTTGAGGCCAAAATGGAGGAGATATCCCACGCTATCCTGAGAGTCCACCTCTACATCAAGACAAACTCTCCATGCAAAGATAGGGAGCAAATACATTGACAGGGTTGCCGTGTTTTCAGTTTTAGAGTCCCTAAATAAAGTGGCAGCCCTGTCAATGTATTTGCTCCCTATCTTTGCATGGAGAGTTCGTCTTGATGTAGTGGTGGACTCTCAGGATAGCGTGGGATATCTTCTTCATTTTGGCCTCAACTTGAGAGCTTTTTTTGAGCTTGGGAGTTGATTTCAGAGAAAACCAGTGGCTCCATCGTGTTTCTCGCGAACTTTTACATAAGAATCAACAGTCAAATCGCAAATTCCTCGCACATGCAACATCTCCATTCTTGACACCGTGAGTCCGTAGAATGGCTGTTTTTCTAGGACCTAAGAGCTCCATGACCTTGTCAAACCCAACCTCCAAAATTTCCAACTTGTCCATACTCTCCTTATTCTATTTGGCACGTTGCGGAATTCGTCGGGATGAGCTAAGCCATGGTCTGATTGTGTGTTTCAGAACGGGAGCGCGGTGGGTCCGCTGACGATCGCGCCGTTCCTGGGGTTGGCGATCTACGGGTTCGACTTCGCGAAGGAGATCCACTGGGCGATGAACGCTGTGATGAAACTGAGCTTCCTCCGGTGCGGGGTCGTCGGGCTGGTCATCGTCGTCTTCGGCATGGGCCGGCAGCCCCTCCAGTGCGACCGCGAGATGTACTGCCACTTCCGCAACCCCCGCACCATGATCTACTACCTGGACCTCGAGAACACCTCGCCGTGGGAGCAGGTCTTCTACCTCACCATGATGCTCTGCATCTTCCGCATCCTCGTCTACGTCGGTCTCAAACAGCGCCTCGACACTTGAGTTCTTCCAGCCCCACGAGACGAAGTTTCTAAGTCCGCGATGAATCGAAATTTATCGAGGGTCGATTGATGTATCGAAGTGCGATTTACCCATTCTCGAAAACATGTCACTTATTTTTTGAAACACAAAGCTGATAGACGTACGTCCGTCATCCATACGTCAAAAATTCAGAAGGTGGTGGTGAGGTTGCCATACTGAGATTCGGTCGCGATTTTTGGAGATACTGCTTTTCGCAGTAGCTGAATTCCTTGTTGCTTCACAGACGAAGGAACGTAACTTAATTCCAGGTTGCAAAATTGATTTTAAAAAATTTAGCTTCTTCATGAAAGATGTGACTGCGTAATTTATGTTCACAATTTTCCTTCCTGTTTCCCATGGCCAGAGAAGATATTGGTGAAATTTTAGACAAAAATGCAGTATAATTTCATGATTAAAATAAAATTTGCAAGTGAAAATTTTGCAACGTCGAATTGCAGTCACGTTCTTCCATCTGGGAAACAACGAACTTCGCAACGATCCTCAATCAAGATGCTTGCTGTGACGTTGAAAAATGTATTCCTCCGGTTGCCAGCCATCATTTTACTTTCTAGCCCCACTCCGTCTCTCCCATGCAGTACGTTGCACTGAAAAAATTCAAATATTGTGTTTTTTAAAAACATCAAGGAAAATAATTTTTTCTTTCAGAAGAGAGAGGGAAGGAAAGAAACTTACACTGTAATTAATCCGTCTGAACTTATTTTATAGAGTACTTCTTATAATCCGGTGCATATTTTCCTTTTGGTATAAAACACCAGTTGTTTCTTTTCGGTGTTCCGATTTCTTAAAAAAAAACACTTTCCATTGAATCTAAGGGCGTTTCCCAAGCGCGCAAGTTCCTGAGGAATGATTTTCGTGAGGTGTCCTAAGAAGAAATTGATTTAAACAGCCTCCTATACACATTGAATCGTCCAAGCTTCTGGGGTAATTGTTAATTAGTATGACGATAGGTTCGTATAGTCCGTAGATCATTCTTAACGGACGAGTTGACACAAGTGACTATTTGAATTCAGTCTAGTTCCTCACGTAGAATTCGAATTTCTACTTAACCCTACCAACAAATTGAACACTTTTACCTATGAAACCGTAAATGTTCGATTTGCGAGACAATGACTGCCAATAATATTTGGTTAAGGTAAGCTGTCATTAAGCACATTCAATATTACTGATATGGTTCATTCAGTCACCTGTCATACGCATGATTTACACTTCATCGTATAGTTGTTTCAAATTCAGTTATGTTCGGTCCGATTTGCAATCGTGATTCAAAGGAAAGCCTTTTAAAAAGTATTATTCCAGGAGAATTTAGTTTGAAAAGGGCTCGTATGTAAATTTGCACACACAATGCACGTAAACTATATCCCCGTTGTTTCTATTGTGGTATTTAAGGAATGAATGTGCGACTGATTAATTTTCTGATGTCCCTTCTCTTATTTTTTTAAAAAAATTGTAGCCATTCCAATTTTTTTCTTAATTTGTGAAAAAAAGTTGACCAAAACCCAACATACTTTTTAGATGCTGACTGTAAAGCAATTGTAATGCGAATGAACAGTTGAATTTTGAAAATAAGATAATTTGAATTTTGCATTGCTCGCGTTTTGTTGGAGGCTGATGCATTCATGTTTTAAATTTAATGATTCCAGAGCAAAAGAAATTGTTTTCGATCAAATAAAGTTTGAGAGAACTGTGTGCCCATGAAAAAATGTACAGAAACGATTTTTCAAAGGCTAAAGCCTTTAATTGTTACCAAAATAGACTCGATTTTAATGTTATGTAGGTAAGCCATTTAATTTCGTGCGAACTGTTGTAAATACATATTTTTTATTCTTTTATATCCTTACTTGTCGGTTGTTTTTATTTTCTGATAACACAGCATCCTCACTGATGAAAAACAGGAAGCACGTACTCCTAAAGTCAAACAAAAATTATCCCCTCTAATTTTTCAGTAAGTTCCATCTTTTAAAAACACACACATTATACTTTCGTAACTATTCAACAGTGAAAGTATATTAATTTTACCAGGCATTCCCAAAAAATATTTTTTTCCCCTACAAAAAGCGATTCATTATAACCCTTAGATGCCTATGACTTTTTTTATACACAAAATCCCAATCGAATCAAACTGACTCGAAATTAAAATCATTGATTTTGATAGTTTTCAAAGTATTATTTACACTTAATGCATGTTTTTGAAGTAACCCTTTTCCATAAATGTTCACCTCTTCGGTATTGTACTGACACTTTCTTACCTCTTCATCCTGCATACGTAATTTCTCCAGAAGAGAAAGTCGAGTTAATATGACCCGACTTGGGATTTCTAAGGGCAATCGTCAAAAACAAATCCCTGACACGACAAGAGCATCACAAAATACCAAGGGAATAGTTGTGCATTGATGACGGCGCAGCGATACAACTATTCGTGCTTGATGGATGTCCGTGTTGCATCTGCAAAATTGAAGGCGCGCCTTCGCCAAGCGTGAACTTGAATCTCAATGCTCCGCTCTAAGCTGCCAATGAGTGGCTCTCATGATTTGGGAAACAAATCTCAAAGTCGAGGCTCGAATATGATTTTTCTATTTTCGGCTTTCAACACTTGATTTTCTTCTTTTTTTTTCAATTTCATACGAGTTTCATATCTGAAACTTGTATGTAGCGGCACCATAACTTTCCTCAGAAGAGAAAGTCGAGACAATGAATCCCTGCCTGGGATTTTTAGGGGTAAAGTTGTCAATAAATACTTGGACCCTTGATTTTTTTCCTAATTTAATGTCTGATTCTTTTTTTACGATTTATTAGCAGACCTATATCTAAAGCTCAAATGTACTGGTCCTGTAGAACCCGTGGTCCACGCGCGTTTATCAAGCCTCGGGTCAATTTGACCCGACTTGGGCATCTAAGGGTTCAGATACTATCAACGATTAGAAATTCACCATAAAAATTTTCCAAATCCTCAAGTCGTCCTAGAACTTTTGGGGTCAAGCAGGCAATGGACGTTTTAAGCAAAAGAAAGTTAAGAGCCACATAGTTGAAAAAAGATATGTATATTTCTCTTTTGATCTTAATTTAAAGGTTTAATTTTTTTTTTTGTTTCAACACACATACCTACAACACATCTCATTAATTGTTAACATTTAAAACATGATGAATAAAAAACACAATTGTCACTTCAGGCTGATTTGTACTTAAATATAACATAACAATCTAAAACCGAAGGTCATTCGGAAGAATACAATTATTGTGAGGAGAGAAGGTCACAATTTGGGCATAATTCCTCAAGAATGTTCCGATGCTTTTGATTGTGTATTCTGGCGTTACTCAAAATTTGAGAGTTTGGATGAAGTACGGATTTTACGTATTAAGTTTTAGAAAAATCGAGTGAGAAAACTATCTACCGAATTATCTGAATTACTGAAATCATTATATATCTACTGAGTTACATAAAAAATATTAACTAAGTCCTTTTCTAGAGCATGTACATATGATGGATCTGATCCATGATTTTTTTAAGTGCCTTTCTGTAATTTTGAGATCATCGAGAATAAAGTTAACATGTTGTACTATTTTACGAAAATATATTCATGGGTGGCTTTTAGCAGTCAGATCCTCATCATTTTGCCCTTGACTTCGTTGTACTCGTTTTATCATTCAGTGCCTTACAAGGATGCCAAAAATGGCTGTAATTACTTTACTTTCTTAATGTATAACAGTTTATGCACTAGATCCTTCATATTCACTGAATTTTGTCCGAAAATCGTATACTTTTGATATACACTCTGCCAAAAATTTTGAGTTTTTCTTTGTCACGTTTCATTCGTCACAAATTATTATCACACAAATTATTATCGTAATTATCTCTTGCGAATGTCTCTTTTTCTCCGCTTGTTCCTTAATTTTGCATACACTTCCGAAAATAAAGCGTTGCCACTTTTGATATAATTGAAAAGTTTAATACACCTAGTGATAGAAAGGTAAGTATATCAAGACTCCTAGCTAAGAACACCGCTTTTGCTTACAATGTAGCATTGTTGCATACATGAACTTCGCTCATTTCACGCCCCTCTCCCCCTCCCCTTCACCCTCGAAATAACAAGAATAGCAAAATTAAATCAAATACGTGCTAAAAATTCATAAATTAATTGATAAATACATAAATACATTTTTAAATGGCAACATGTAATAACATAGTTTTGAGTATCTGTAGATGAATGACAAGAGAGTGTAGAAATTCTCACAGCTTGGAGAAATTAAGTTTCTATCAATTAGAAATGAAACTTTACACAACCTAAAAAGGCTGATACTGACATCAACTGTAATTCAATGCAAATAAATCAAAATTTTCCCTTGAATATGAAAATCATAACTTGGCCAGCATAAATAGATGCTGAGCTCAAAATTGACCACCTGCGGATTCTATTCAATAAGTTGAGCATGAAACTGCCAAATTTTGAGTATTGAAATCTTCAACATGAAAGAGCAACTGAATGTTGCCCTAGGGTTGAAAAACCAACTCAATCTGATATTATACATGATTAATTGAAGATGCTTTCATTCTTGAACAACACGCTTGATTTGTTTTCCAGAATTTGATGATCTCAACCGAAAGTTGGCTGCATGTTCTTCTCGAAGATTTGGAAGTATAAACCGGTTTAAATAAATGACTTGACTTTACTGAAGACATTCTTCACTGGTGATAATATAGACCTGTAAAAGCAAATTTTCTAATTATTAGACAATTCGAACAAATATATCATGCATATTACAGCAGGGTTCTTTTTAAAAATACTTAATAAAATTAAAAGCAACGCTACAGTTATACATTCAAATCAATAAATATGGCGTCTTATCATTTATCCTAAGTGTCTCAGTAGATTTAATTAACGACAGAATGAGCCCAAAATAAGTTGATGTGATGACTAAAATTTACATTTTATGTAAAAAAAATGTTCTCCAAAATATTGAGACAACAGTTTGACATTACTTTGGCTCGCTCATAAACGTGTCCACGTATTTTACTCTCAGAATATCTTACGAAATATCTTTCGAAACAATAACCCCCCCCCCACCCCCTTCCTGAAGGAAGGAGGAGGGAAGGATACGGTGAAATTTTTAATTATTGACGAATTTGAATTGAGTTTTTGCTTTATTAAGTCCTTACTTCACTGTGGTGGTTGCATTCGGTGCTCCTTTTGAGGTCTCTGTAAGGTTGACTGCAGATTTTGAATCCGCCTGGGATACTTTGTTTTGCTCTCTTTCACTAACTGCTTTCGCCAGAGACTTCTGTCGGTCAACTTCAAGTACTGAAAACAATAATAGTATTTCCTTATAACATTAATGAGTTGTCTTCGTACTTCACCGACATTTTTTCTCCTCCTTCGAAGTATACGGAATGAAAGAGAATTTCAGTGCATATGCTGTTACTAGATTCCTCATTCTACTTGATCCTCGGAAAATCTAATGACCCATGCTACATTTCTGACAATGTTTATCACGCGGCTGATCAACGTAATTACTAGCATGATTAATAATGCTAATGGAAATCTAAGTTGGTAACCAAATCTGGGGTTCATGCATAATCAGGAATATATAGTATCCACTAAGATTCTTCTTCATCTGTTTAAACTCTAGACGAATGATTAAATCCAGTTTGGCTCAACTTTTATTAAATCAGGAATAAATCAAGGCATTTAAATTTATAGTTTCTTTGTAAAGACTTTAAAAAGACCAACACAAAGAGGTTTTTTGCGTTTATGGTGTAATATTAATCGGCTAGACAACGGTTCAATCCTAACATTATTTTCTGGCCTATGATATTCAAGAATTTAAGTACAATTCTGTGACCACAGGACTGACTTTCTTTGAGATTATTTAAAATACAATATAATATATTCGTAATTTTAAGTAGACTCACGGCAGAAAGGAGGATCTGAGTTAGTGTTGATGGTGAATTTGCCAATGGTTGGGTATCGATAGATGTCCAGCCCGAAAATGGAACATTTTTCGGCGTCGCAATCTCCAATCCTTGATAAAATTGGGTTCGTTAACTTGTTAGCGTACCCAGCACTGCAAAAATGGGATAGGATGCAATAAGATAATCAGTCTCACATATTTATCACAAATAATGAACAAAATCGTAATTTTTATTAAATATTATTCGCAGATTGCATCAATTATTTACGGGACAAAACCTTAATTGGACCCTATTTAATAGTATAAATTTATGTCACTGCGTTTGTTCCTCATCAGTTCTTAAAATTACATTTTTGTGTCCTGTGGTGAAAAAATAATTTGCAACTAAACTATTTATTTGGAAATTGATGCATGCAATTTCGGAGAAAATTATATTTTGAAATTAGGGAAACATTTCTAATGTCTACGGCAATAAAAGTTTCATCAATGAGAGAAAGGCGTTTCAGTACAGGGTGTTTCAGACCACCCGTACCAGGCCTTTTTCTCGGTTGGTTTAGGTCGTACGAAGTCGGAGACCGCGAGGTTGAATAGGGAATCGACCCCAAGGAATCCGAATTTTGTGGTCCCGAAACCCCCCCACCCCCCCTTGGGAGGTAAAGGGGGGGTCACGATGCTAAAAGTCACGGTTCCCGACCGAATTGCGGATAGATCGCATCAGAATTGAAAAGCACGGAAAATTTCACGTGGAATTGACCCCTAAAAATCCAAAATCGGACCATCCAAGGCCCAAAAATGACCCCCTAAAGAGGGGGACAGTACCTCCCTTCATAATTTCTCTTTGGTCTCAAAATTGACGTAAATTCTCCAGAAAAAGACGGATTCCCAGGTAATCGACCTCGAGAAATCCAAATTTTATGGTCCCGAAGCTCCTCTAGCCCCCCTTGAGGGGTAAACGGGGGGGCCCAATTTTAAAAATTGGGGCTCCTTTCCGAATCGCAAATTGATTGCATCCAAATTGAGGAGCAGAACACATTTACATCTTAAGTGACTCCTAAGAGTTCTAGTAGACCCCCTGAATGGCAGAAAGTAACTCCCTGAGTAGGGGGGCTTCGCCCCCGCCAAAAATTTCTCAAGATTCCTCTTTGGTCGCAAAATTGACGTCGATTCTCCAGAAAAAGGCGGTTTCCTATGTAATCGACCCCGAAGAGCTTAGGGAACATGAAATTTAGAGTCCTCGGGGTCGATTACATGGGAAACCGTCTTTTTCTGGAGAATCGACGTCAATTTTGCGACCAAAGAGGAATCTTGAGAAATTTTTGTCGGGGGCGAAGCCCCCCTACTCAGGGAGTTACTTTCTGCCATTCAGGGGGTCTACTAGAACTCTTAGGAGTCACTTAAGATGTAAATGTGTTCTGCTCCTCAATTTGGATGCAATCAATTTGCGATTCGGAAAGGAGCCCCGATTTTTAAAATTGGGCCCCCCGTTTACCCCTCAAGGGGGGCTAGAGGAGCTTCGGGACCATGAAATTTGGATTTCTCGAGGTCGATTACCTGGGAATCCGTCTTTTTCTGGAGAATTTACGTCAATTTTGAGACCAAAGAGAAATTATGAAGGGGGGTACTGACCCCCTCTCTAGGGGGTCATTTTTGGGCCTTGGATGGTCTGATTTTGGATTTTTAGGGGTCAATTCCACGTGAAATTTTCCGTGCTTTTCAATTCTGATGCGATCTATCCGCAATTCGGTCGGGAACCGTGACTTTTAGCATCGTGACCCCCCCTTTACCCCCCAAGGGGGGGTGGGGGGGTTTCGGGACCACGAAATTCGGATTCCTTGGGGTCGATTCCCTATTCAACCTCGCGGTCTCCGACTTCGTACGACCTAAACCAACCGAGAAAAAGGCCTGGTACGGGTGGTCTGAAACACCCTGTATACTTTCTGATCGCAGTTTTGAACATCAACAGTAAGTAAGTATTCTTGTCGTCAAATGAAAATCCATCGAAGCAAACAAAATGATGAGAATTTTTCTGGTATTTAGTGCTATAGCTGTGCTTAGTCCAGTGTATCTAAATATCTTATATTTAGGTACCTATACATGTAAAAAATACCTTTTATTTCATATGGTTTTTTACGAAAATTAAAGTGAATGTTATTACCTACTGTAAACATTTCTACATTATATCACCGAGATGACATGAATAATGTGACTGGGTAATAATTATCTGGCTCTAAAATTTAATTGACTTACCTGAAAGTGTTCGACAGGTGTTCAACAGCGCCAGTTTTCCTGGCTACAAACGAGCAGTTATTGTTTCCGGTCAAAATTGCCTCGCTGTAATACTCATGAGCCAAGTTATGAGAGCATCCAACCCATTCCGATAAAACTAAATAATAATGAATATTATACAAATGTCAGTTTGATTCCATGAAACACTTTGTACATTTATAACAATATTACAGCGGCAGGTACATGTTCGATGAATTATAGTAGAACGATTGTAGTCTCATATACGGAGGCTTCAAAATTTCAATTGATGAACAAAAATTAATGATGATGAGCAAACATTTTCAATCACAATTTGTAAGCGGCTCAAAAGGGCTGAGTTTGAATTTTCAAAAAATTGAGAATTATTAATCATCTATTAATTTGTTCTTCTGGCATGATTTGATTCAAAATTTGAAGGAGAAAATCATCGGTATTGAAGGCCACATTTACAAAACCTTACTCAGTGGGTTGTAAAAATAAGCTACGTGAACGTAAAATGCCCTCTTTTCGACCAAAGACCGATGGCATATGAGAGGATGTCAACTTAGTTGTCGTTGAATTTCGTTTTGCATGTAATAAGCATAGTAGTGAGGAGAAAAATAAATCTTACCTTCCACAGGGACTAAAACTAAATCAGAGATAGAAGTAATGTTCACTGAGTCGAAGGGTGGTATTTTGCATTTCGGTTGCAGAGCGCCTCCATTGAAGTAGAAATCAACATGTCCTGCGGATGAAAAAGTTCCAAGAGTCAACCGCACGTTCAAATTGATGGAATAAATTACTAGTTTCATACAATGTCAGGCAATGGCTTCTAAGTAAGTATGGGATTATTGCGTTTCCTTAAAATACGAAACTTTGTTTATAAGTGATTTGATACAAGAGTAGTTGGTGTAACTGTCTCGAGACCGGTCACTAATCTGTATATAAACTTCGAGGTACTTACCAACGGTGGTAATGAATCCGAACCCAAGGAGTGGAATAAATGGTCGGCCACTGGTGTGAACTACTTCCACAAACTCTGCGTCGCTCTTGTCCAGTCGCACCGCAGCGGGCGACCCTTCAAATCCGGGTTGAGCGGGGTCAAGCGCTGAAAAAAATAGGTAAATAAGAGTGAGCTAATAACTACGGAATTGGTTCAACAATATGACGGCAAGCTCTACCCATACTACTGTATAAAAAGACAAACGGAACCAAAACGACTTGTAAACTGAGCGAGGGAAAGGATGCGTGTTGATGACGGCGCAGACATACAACTATTCGTACTTGATGGATGTCCGTGTTGCGTCTTAAAAATTGAAGGCGCGATGGCTCGAAGCGTGAACTTGCACTGCTCCGCTCTGCTATCAATGATGTGTCGCACAGATCACTCTGCTTGTTATTTTCTATAATAATTGTGATATGACGTCAGATCCTCATTTTGGTATGTATTTTGTAGACTTATATCTCAATCTCGTATGTACAAGCACCATAACTCCCCCATGAGAAATAGCCAGATCAATTTGACCGGGCTCGGAATCTCTGAAGGTGGTTATTACAGAGAATGTTCGATTTTTTCTTTTTTCTAATCTGATGTCTGATTCTTTTCCTACTATGTATTTAAAGACCTATATCTAATGCTTGTCTCCGTGCAACCCATGGATCACGTGTTTTAAGGAAGCTTCGAGTCAATTTGACCTGCGGTTTGACCGTCAGAGGGTTAAAAAAATAAAAACAAAACATTAAATGATACATGGTGGAATCAAAATCATGAAACTGCAAAAATCTGAGGTCTGCACTTGAGGCCCAGTGTATTTCGATTGTCACAATCTTGAGAGCAGGACGTGAGTGAATGTTCATTCACATTCTATAATTTCGAAGGCGCTTTGAAAAACTTAAACTTTTTAGTAGTTTTCTATTCCTGGTACGGCACCAGCTTAAAATAGGAAAACAAAAAAAAACAGAGGCAAAACATACCTGTCAAAACGCTAATTTTTGGGTTGGATTTGGCCACGTAGGAAGAAATATGAGATCCAAGACTGTGGCCGATCAAATGAATCTGGCCTGGTTTTACACCTTTCGCTTCCCTCAGATATTTAACAAACCTGAAAAAGGAGCGATTTTCTTTGCTAAATTTCCATGTATTTGAGATCTGGGGGGTCAGATTTGGCTTCTTGTCAATAATAATTTAATTAAATATTGTTTATTATTTACTTATTTGATAACCTAAATTACAGAATTAAACAATAGAAACCTTTAAAAGTTAAGTATTAAAGTAAAATAAATTTAAATATTAAATATACCTAAATAAGATTGACAATCTTTAATTAAAAAATATATAAAAATGAAGAAACTTAGATTTATATTTTAAATAGTTTAATAACTGTAACTGAGGCAAACTTTGTTAAATTATGGTTTTCGTCATCAGGTAGAATGTGGACATCAAGTTGACTCCTTGCTCACTTGGAGAGTTGAGAATCACGATTGTCAAAAACTAAACATATGCGGCCATTTCAGCTAATTTCATTTGCTTTCATTAGGTTTATAAACAAAAATCAATCCTTTTAGTTTTCGTTTTTGCACTTGACACAATTAGCTGAAATGGCCGTAGGCACTGTATTCCGTTTTTGACAGTCGGGATTTCAAGTCATCGGGCGAATAAGGAAGAAAAAAGGACTGTCACTAAAGCGCCTCAAAGATAAAATAGTATGCAGAATTGTTTGTTTTTAATTCAAATAGGTAATCCATTAGTCCTGCATCACCGTTGTAACTTGTTTGCTAATAAAATTATCGGGTTGAAACCTTAGGGATACTCCTAAGTCAAAGGAAACTACTCTTTGGCTCCCTAAAAAGTTCAGGGAGACCTCCGTAAGAAAGGAATGGACAATAACTTTTTTTCAAGCAGCAACTTCTTTGTTAAGATATACCGTTCTATATAAAAAAAAAGTTTGCGCAAACTTTTGGCTTCTATCTATCACCGTTTTAAAAAGTTTAACCGATGATAGAACGACCAATGGTAAAGCTCAGAATTGCCGAAAAAAGCATCTTAACAACGAACGAATGAATGTGTTTCAATAGAACCGCTGAGAAGACGCAGAGCGCTAAATACGAAATTGATATCAATTTTCCAAAAGTCAATCTTTTTTAAGATGGTGATGACCCTGGCGTAAAATCGGCATTCTTCGAAAATCTTGTTGAGTTTTGCTTACCGGCTTACAGCAGCGCCAACTACACGGGTGTTTGATGCTACTTGAAGATAGTTGAGTAAGTTGGCACCTTTGTTCCAGTCAACAAGGAAAACATTTGCGTCGCGCTGCAAAAGCAAGTAGAGCACTGATAAAACACGTGCGTGTGCACAGGTAAGTTCACAAGCCAATTCATTGGTCATGGTTGTTTGAACTGTTTTCCTCAATACCTTGTCCTTTCTTAGTATCTTTATATTTTATTTTTTCACGGAGCCTAGAACAACCATATTCTTTCGAATTTTGTAGGTTTATTTTGGTTCTCTTAAATTTAAAGATTTTTTAACAGTATGCATTAGAGTATGTCTTCATTTTCTCTGTTTTTGTTGAGATTTTAAGAGTTCGCACTATGTTTTCATTTGTAAATTCTGCTGTGAATACAACCTATCGCTTTCAATAGGGTTTGTTGCGTCATTAGATAGCAATTTAAAGGTTTTCCTCCCTTGTAGAAATGACGAATGTCTTCTCTTTATCTCATTGATGGTTATTCTGTGCTGATTTACTGGCATAGAGAAATAATGCTGATTGAAGAAACCCCACGAGAATATTAATAGAGCAAAATCCGTAGGTACATTTTCTCGGCCATTCTGCGACAGGAAAAAATGTATTGAGCAGATATTTTAAACAGAGCAAGGGCAAATATTTCAAAATTTTAAGTCGTTACATACATACCTGTTTTAAATAGTTATCTTTCAAATGTTGGATCCATGTTGTATTACAGTTACTGGCGAATCCATGGGTCATGAAAGTGGTATAAGGCCGTTTGGGATCGAATTTCAATCCATTTGTTGAGATGTTCGGCCATAATTGAACAACTTGGCCCACCTCAGGGTTATCTCTAGAAAGATACAAAAACTCCACACGTCAAGAAGTATATACCAGATGAAATTAATATTTTCAGCAATTTTGACTTAAACGAAATAAAATCAGCCTCAATGAGCCCAGGAACCGAACAGTGACTAAACAGTAAGAGTATTTCTTCCAGGAAAACAATAAGAATGTTTTAGCAACACCTATACCGAGCTATAAACCGTTTGGAACTTGTGTTTAAAGGCCGAAGGTCTACAGGGCTGAAACCTGTAATTTAAGGTTTCTTAACTCAGAACGAGGAAGGTATGTTTACAGTCAGTGTAGCCCTTAGCTACAGGTCATATACTCAGAGCGTTTTTTTCAGTTGCTAAGTATAAAGTATCTACAAACAATCTTTGTAACGCATTGAACAGCTTTACAAAATAATTTTTTCCTTTCGCTAGGCGCAAAAATGCTTAATCTATCATGATGATGAACCATAAAGTTTAGATTCAGTGAACCTCGTCATAAACAAATAATTTAAGTTTGTAACTGAATAAAACAGATATTGGTGTAAAAAACATTTGAGGCCAAGCAGAGGGGCTGATTAAATATCTATTCCTGAAGAAAAGGCCCTCTCCTCAAGCCTTTTCAACATTAATTAGTCACTTTAACCGACAAGTGCCAGCAATCCCTAATAAGACCATGATACACACTTCTTAAAAGGGGAATGTCTCGACACTCAGCAGGAACTGCTTTTGCCTAACCAGCAAGAATGGAGGCGAAAAAGACGGTGTCCACGCATGCTTTGCATGCATCTAAGCGATTAGGCAAACATATACCCTAGATAGTAGGAATGAATGTTAATAGCCTGTGAAGCTGAATGTCTTTAAGTATATTAACTAGGTACTATATTCTTGCCTGGAGTAGAAGACCAATTGTGGCTGTATCTCGTCAGGAGTCATCGGTTGAGGGAAAGGTCGTAGGTTGCTGGTCCACGGCGATTTCATCGGAAAACATCCCAGCTCTCCAAAGCATCTTTCCTCATCAAGCTTTTTTCCTGTGCAAAGTCATGGAGTTGAATAAATAATCAACGAATAAATACATGAAAAATATGGGAGAATGGTTAACCGACTATTATCACGTGAGGCAGGTGTCACCATCTCCGCAGAAATTGAAAAATGAAAAAAAGTAAGGAGGCAAAGATAGCTCAAACGATTTACTCTTACAATATTTGAAACAACGCTGTCAAGTGCTTTTATTTATTTATTGCTTCTCAGCCCGGTAATGTTCCGTGTAAGCACCTCGGATGTTCCAGCCGATGTGACAGCATATTGACTCAAGGTCAGCGAGTTAACGCCACTGATCGACTTATTATACCAGGACGAGATAATTTACCGTCGTGTTTGATGTTCATTAGCAGCAGTGTTGACATTCGAGCCTTATATCAACAATCTATTATGAATACTTTTTGTTTCAATTTTTTCTCTTTCTTTTTGTCAACAAAGAAGGACACATTTTAATTCTGAACAGAACTCACAAAATAAATAAAAACCCTTCGATAGTTGCCTCTACTTATATCCAGAAAAAATGGGCTTTGCTGCTGTTCCACCATATTTACTTGCAAATGCAAAATAATCATTTACCTTCATGCAAATTGGATAGTGACCTAGACAAGTGAAGTCAGTTTAGTTGAATAAAATATCAATACTTGTTCGCGCCACGGTGTGTGAGAAGCACATTACATTTTTTCCGTGCATGCCATTTAGTATTGATTCCTTCATTTTGATAACAGATTTTAATTTCAGAAAAGGGTGTACCGATTTATAAATTGAAATCGACCAAATTCTCATTTCTCTAAATCGGCTTTATTGTTTATTTATTTATATTTTTTGAAAAAAATATAATGAAACCGAGCAGATTCCGGTTCGACGCAAGCGTTCCTGAAGCAGAATTTGTGATTTTTCCATGTACGATTAATTCAGTGTACAACTGAAATTCTCATTAAGAAGAAAAAGCTCATCCAATTATACCGTTTTGACAGGGGAGTGTCTGTAGCCATCGCTTAACTTTATATGCTGCGAAGGATGAAGTCAGGTAAGAGCAATGTGAGGCGCAGAATTTTAGATAGAATACGATTTAAATAGGCCTACGAGATATAAAGCAAGCTTCGAAATGGTGTAAATGGAGACATTTTTTTAAGGTGCAATTTTGAAATATCCTTACCTTTGGAAGGGGAGATACATTGTTGGAGGAGCGCTGCCCTGGCGATATTGTCCACATCCCGAGGAATCACGCAACCCGCAGGCACAACCACTTTATCAAATAGAACATTTCCGGTTGAGACCACTGATAAACCCTTTATACCGGATATGAAGAAAAACAAGAGAAGAGGGTACATTTTTTTTTCAAAAAATTTTGCTGAATGCTGGAAATTTCCCTGGAACGGTCTTCGAATGCCTCTGGCGTGCAAGCGGGTTGCCTAGTTCCAAAGTTTTTAAAGTCTCAACTTTACGCAACGGACGGTCGACAGCCGATCGGGCAAAATCTGCCAAACAAAGTTAAAAGAGAAAAGTATGAATTATTGAGATGCACATTGTTAGTCATTGCATATTGTAAGTCGGATTCCTCGGCGCATATAGTAAAATCTTAAAAAAAAATACTTACTTCACGAAAACTTTTTGTCTTAGAGTCTTTTTTGAAAGAAGTTTCATTGCAATTTTCTTTGTTTTTGCCGATTGATAATGCGGGTGTGATCCTTGCGAAACGTTCCGGGCTTTTCATTTTAGTTTATGTGTTCGTTGTATTATTTACCTACAACCTTAATCCCGATTTAAGTTGTTTCTTTCTCATGGTTTAACCGTGTCCTTAGTCCACGCAACTGAGCTTTCAAACCGAGTATATACGGTTTCTTCTACGGTTCTATGTAAAAAGTTACATGAACCGACAAGTGCGTTTAGGGTCATATGATATTTTTCCTCGGTGAAATTGTAAAATTTTATAATCCTCTCCATTCAGCTGGCTTAAAAATAAATCAATAATGCCTTTGGATCTTTACCTTTAATTTTGCAACTTTTCGCAAAAATGAAAGCCATGTCTGTAGTGAACCTTTATCGTCACTTTAGCACAGAAAGTTCACAGAAAAATAAATGATATGATACACCGCAGTAAGCTAACAGCATGAAACGAAGGAGTCGGGAACGAAACAAAGTGCGTTACTGCGAAAGCGTTGAAAAAATATGCTCAACTCTGACCCGCCTCATATTCATTGACACGCTGATGGGCGAAAAACGAACAAAAAGAACTTGATAATTTTCGTCCAAAAATTAGCACCATTTTACTCCGTCGCACGGTGGGCCGAAATAGCATACGGAAATGTCGGTTGCACATGTAACACTTTTGGTAACAGTCGTAAACACAAAACGGCTTTCAGAAAATTGATACAAAAACACTTTGAAGGAGATCTCTTCCTAAAATTGTACTTCGTAGAAGCCTTCGTTTATCTTATTTATCGCAGGACCACAAACAAAATAAAGGTTAGTCACAAGTAATAAAGAAATTATTTGGAAACATTAAATTTCAACTTTTCATTAGGGACCGTCCCTAAATTACTTAACGCAATTTTTCTACAATTGTTACCCCCCCCCCCCCCCTCTTTCGTAACCTTTTTGTGAAGTAGGTCCCTATCCTTAACACGTAAAAACAAAATGGCTTAACGCTCCCCTCGACTCCCTCCCCCTCCGCCCCCCTAGAGTGTTAAGTAATTTAAAGAAGGCCCCTTACATATATTCTAAATAAATATCAAAGGAGTCACGAGTACCAAAAATTAACTATAACTATATCCATTTCAGATAATGTATTAAAATATTCCTGTATACCGGCGATATTGGCATGATACCCATGGTTCTATAAACTCAACGTCGCAATTTGTCTGGGTTCAAATCTAAAATGTTAAATTACGTATGCATGATTGAACCTGCCTCGCAATCAGTCGATGGTGCCAAACGTCTTTCCATGTCAAATATCACCACTATAAGTTGAGAATTAAAAGCTTAATAATCTTCTTTTTTTTTCATTTTAATTTAATTATTAATCGCGACATCATTTAAAATAAACACTTAGAGATATACCAAATGAAGATAAAAACACGGGTCTTATGCCGAGAGAAAAAATGCAACCTAAAGAACTGGAAGTTTATTTTCTTTAGTTTGAGCGTGCAATACTCTAATTATGACGAGTTGATTCTTTCATTACATTCTTTGATAACTATAAAATAAGAAGTTCAAGTAATCCGGTCTCGCTGTGGTATCGGTTCCCATTGTGCGCTCTGCTTGAAATTACTTTCGGCTGTTTGCATAGGTGTCCATGATGACCTTAACTACACAAAGGGGCCAACGCTACACAAAAATTAGTTCGCGTTTCGCGTTAACAGTCTCATCAGAAAATTAATGATGATTCCTTTCTATTTGATCGGCTGTTTCTCTTCCTTGGGGGCTAGTGGCTTTAATTGAAAGGAACATGATTGAAACAAGGACTCTAGGGTCGAACAAATAGAGCGACTTCTTTCTAATTTCAGGAATATTTCACACATCCTCGTAAGAATGAACGGCACTTTTTTTCGTCTCCCAAAGTAACGGTATTATAGCCATAGAATTTTTCTGAAATTACTCAGTAGCATTGCTTAAACTGCAATCAGGTGTTTATGTTTTCTCTGTGAGGATAGTCAAAGAGAGGTGGCTTTTTTTACTCTATCCGTTCTGTGACAACAACTTAGACGATATTTGCATTCAAATCTTGCATGTCTATATCCCCCCCCCTGCGCATATTATTGGAACACATAAAACTGTACTAGAGGTATCACATTCCAAAATAAATTCTCTCTTAACCAAATCCTTAATAGTCTCATCAAGATGCATTTAGGATCAAGGATTTCCACGAACTCTCATCTGTTTATAACGTGATTTATTAATCGTTTAGATCTCTTTCTTTCTCTTACGTGATAATTTGACATGGTTGTTGTTTTTTCAAGATTGCTGAGTGGTTAACACACACACACACCCCCACCCACCCTCACGAACGTAATAAAGATTTTTAAAGAATAAGGCCTTGACGAGATCAGGAGGGGGAGCAGGTGGACCTGAACCCTCCGATTCATATTCCATCTCCTCCAGAAAATGTGAGGAATTTTGCAAAACAAGTGCAAAGTATGTTTGCCATCTTCGGACTTGTAATTCACTCTATATTTTTTAGTTTAAGAGCAGCTCAAAATAATTGCTCTTGGAACTTCTCAGATTGCAACATTTTTCCGGTGGGGTCCACCTGCTTCCCATTTAACGCAGCCCCATGGTAGAGTGTATATTTATACCCTTAGACGTCTCTTATAGAAGTGCTCTCATGCCGCCGCCCCCCCCCTCACAAAAAATTCCTATTCTCGCCCAAGAGAATAAGAGGGTCTGTCAATCTTTCACACGAGCTTTGTTTTAGGGAGAATAATCTCTTACTTGACATCAGAGTGGCTTGTCTTTTCTACCTCGTAAAACATAGCTGCTATCAATATTTTGTCTAGGAATAGGTGGAATACGAGGTGAAATTATAGATACTAATAGATAGTGGGAAAAATAATAATTAAGACAAAAATATAGAAAAACTGAGCTAACCGGAAATATTGAGAAGCACATCTTGGTCCATTCTTTTTTTTCCCCCGGAAATGATTTTAGGAATATACAATAAAAAAACCCTAATTGCCAATCAGAGGAAGTATTTGATGACTCAACTTTGCCCTTTCTCGATTTTCAAGCCTTGAACTTGGACGGAATCTGCGAATTCGCCGCAGGTGGGTTTTTTCGCTGAACTTGAGCGGTGCCACCTGTAGGTCACCAGCTTTTCAACCAAAGCCGGGTCTTCATTGCAGCGTTGGCCTCCGGATTGACAAGAATGGCTGTCATCAGTCCGTCATGACTTGGATCATCTCGAACCGACACTGATGTGGAATGGAGTTCCGCACCGATTTCACTGCCGCCATATTGCTCAAATTACTACAGATACCGGTATTGTTCATATGATTTTGATTCATTTAATATTGATCTTAAATGACTTGGTCGTAACATGCCAAGAGAAACTTGAGACATGTGGGAAAGATGCAGTGGCGAGGCGTGAATGATCGATTATCGATATTTTCTCATTTGGAGCTATGGTAATGAATCGATTATTAAGGTGTTCGCTGCGAACACCCTGTTAATCGATCCTTTCCACAGGTTTAAATGGCAGATCAATCGATATATCGCAAAGCACGCCACGTCACTGGAAAGATGGGGTGAGCTCGTGCAAGCTGCATTTAAAATAGTGTAAAAAAGGGCGTGATTCCTCTTGGGAAAATGGAAAAGTGGGATTTTTCATTAAATCAAAAGGAACTAAGCGCCAAAATATACTAACTCATGAGCCATGGGCATATGACAAGAGCTTTGTGGACGGAGCTCATGAGTTAAAAGCGACTCAGATCCACGGTAAGTCGTCTGCGTCGTCGCCACTGACGTCACTGGCGCTTCATAATTCCCATTCATTCGCACGGCCCTCAACTAATGAGCACACTCCTTCTTTTCCACCCGTTTTTGGTCCCTTTCAGCATAAATACGTCCATAATGATTCAAATATCGATGGCTAAAGTGCAAAACCACGTATTCCCATCGAGGTATATCAAAATCTCTGGTCATTTTTTATTTTTTCGAAAGGAAAAAAGTCAACTGTGTGGCTTTTGAATTTTTCTAGAACTTTCTGCTAATACATAGGATAAATCAAGGATGTTTTTAAAAAATCAAGTCGATTAGTTTACCAATGGAAAAATTAAGAATGACAGGATCGTTGCGACGTCGTAAATAGAGATTCGCGGTTTCACACTTTGGCCATCGATATTTCGAAGTTAGACAAAACTGCACGCAGTTTTCATCTAATGAATGTTTCAACTACACAATTGAAAATTTTCGTGATCAGGGTTACTTTAAGTTACTTTTTCTTTTGACGGATCAACTAAGAGGACTTGATCAAAATTTTGGTTAAATCGACTGGAACCTTAGGTTTTTTTGAGACATCTGAGGATGAAGAATGGGTCCTGCTGAACTATTGTACTCCTGCTTCTCTCAATATCACTCTGAGTTTACATAGTATTAATTTAGATTTGTCCTTACAACAGAGTGAGTGAATGCGGAACACTAGACTCTCCTCTCGTGCTAATTACAATCAGGCGCCTAAGCGTAGAGTTATTTATAATTTTAATTATCGGTGACAACTTGGCTATTTTTAATTCGTCGTTACAAAAAAGAGAATGATTTAATCCTCAGTCTATAACTATGACAGAAATAATGATACTATATCGCAAAAAAAGCTCACACTTTCATGATTTCTTTTCTTAATTTTTCTTGAGTCTATTTTATTTATATTTTTATTTATATATTTTTTGCTCCATACTAATTAAATATCAAATGCGTCTAAAAAAGTATTTAGCTGCATGTTTACGGAAGTCCGGACTAATACTTTTTGTTCCCATTCCGTCTCTCCTATATAAGAAAAACATCTGCTCTGGGAATCTGAATGTCAATAAAAACTGTCTGATACGATGCATAGACAACATATTCTAATTTCATAAAATTAGATCAATATTATATAAATCCTGTATATGATGGAACTTAATAAATTATCTTTAATATATAGTCTTCGTCCAATTACTAAAATTACTAAGTATTCGAACTATCATTAATTTTCCAGTGTTATTTTTGGTACAGTTTTTATCGAAAACATGTCACTATGCACGTTTTTCCGGATAATCACATTCAATTTAAATCCAAAAGGAATGATTCAGACGATATTAATGCCTTTGCGGTGTGAATGGTCAAAGCGTCATTTGACCAAATAAATCGAAAGTAGGGAATTAGGGATTGCGGTAAATGTGAATTCCAATGCACCGTAATTTAGATGAATTAACTTATCGTGAACCTTTCCTGAATGAACTCATCTTCGCATGAATAATCCACAGGAAATTGTTTTTTTCTTTATATTCTTGTCCATCACAAATTTCGAACAGGCAGGACCATGCATAATTAGAAAATACAGTTATTCGCATACTATGGCAATGTTCGCATAGAAAAATACATGGACTGCCATATTCCGAAGAATATGTATTTACATCAATAACTTGAAGCGCATATGTTTTCAACGATATTTTCAATTTTCTGAAAGATTCGGTTTGCGGATAGGTCAAATAGAATTCTCGAATTTTTAGGGAGATAATTTGGAATTTACGTTATCGTTTCTCTCACTTTTAAATTTATTTTGCATAGTAGTAGGAGGGGAGTCCACGGGTAGATCTGATACTTAAAATGTCCCTGCACCTTCCCTTAAAATATTGTAACCCTAAGTAGCCACTCAATATAATTAAGATTCCTGGAAAAAAGTGAACAATCTCCTCTACCGGAGATCATTTTTGGGATCGACCATGAACTATGAGAGGGTACTCGACAAATCGCTTAAAAACAAAGAAAACCAATAATGAGCCCATCAGGATGTTGGAGTTTCCTAGCGTGCTCTCTAAAGAGTCCTCGGTTAGATTATAAAAATTGTTTTGTTCATTGACTGATTCACAATTGGGCGCACTATGGGGCTCTGCGGGAGATTAAAAGGTCGAACATTAAGTACTATAGAGTCTAATGACTATAGAGAGAACTTCCTCTCGGCTGCATTGCTGATTACTTGCTGATTCAACATTTTCGCTTACTGATTTCCGGACAGAGACATTCCCCTTTTCTCCCTACCCATGTACGGCAAATCGATACATTTAACCATGTGTATAGTATCATTGCAAACGTAAAACATTTTATGATTTTTATTTCAGTCTGGGAGATTACAAATACTCTCATTGAAAATCGGTAAAATTATTTTTAATCCCTATCCTAACTGTACACTATTTTCCTAGCTTTTTAGGTACACACAGTGGACTAGGGTTTTTCCCCTTCATTTTCGTGCTTTGGCAGGATATTTCTCACAGTAATTTAAAATTTAAAATGAGAATTAAAGGTAATTGAAAAACATTTACATTATGAGAGTACTGAAAGATTTAGCTTCAAAAGCACGTGCAAATTATTTTGCCTTAATGGGCTATAATTTTGGAAACTTCAAAAGAACTTATCACGCATCTTGTGACTATTCTCGTGCATATGCCTGAGTTTTAACACTTATTTCAAACGGTATATTTATTTGGTTTCCTCTGCTGGTTATATTTTACTCTCCCTTTATTTCTGACTCCAAAAATATTGAAACAAACCGCAAGAAGCAGAAATTAAATGTATAACTAACAGGTCGCTTTTATAGTACTTTTGTGCGCTCTGCGACACCTAACCGCCACTGATAGCGATTCTGCCAGAGCTCCTCCGGCAAATCGCAACTCCTCATTTCCTACCTTTTTCCACCAATTCACGATTTGGTGGCGTCGTGTACGTTTTCTGCCGCAGGGGGGGGGGATATCCAGAACTTGCGACATTAAATATATACCAGGTTATACTAATTTCATGTCCTCAGCTGTCTGTATCGACAATTGTGTTTTAAATTTTTCGATCACATTCTGTAATTATGCAATAAAAATGTTCAAACAGTTCTCATGCCCGATGACTTTGAAAGAATAATATTTTTTCCTAGCTCCGAATAACTCATCTAAAATAACGTTGTGTAGGAATTATCATACGGTGAAGAGAAAAAAAAACTGAGACTCACAGGGCGTTTGACTCATTCCACCATCTTTTAATGAGAAAATACTCAGATTTTTACAGGATTTTAAGCTCCTAGGTTATTATATCACGTTTCTGTTGCTTGTGTTCGAGGGTTCTTTCAAAACTCAGCTTCTTAAATACGCTGTAAAATGCGATTGAGAATTTGCAGATGTTTAAAATTTGATGGATTTCGTTTACATATAAAAATTACTGGCTAAATTAAGCCCACAAATATTCTTAGTTTCTACATTCAACAATTATTAGGTGAAATATGACAGAAGTACAAGTATTAAATGGGAAATGATGGCAATAGGCTATCCTTTTTCCCATTTTTTAATATTTCCTTCTCGGATTTCTCGTGCGAGAAAAACATTAGAGAACATATTACGAGCTCAGCTCATGGAGCATTTTGATACATAGCAGTAGGTAACACTTTTACGTGCAAAGTTTCCTTTCTGGAATTTGAGAAAAACCTTAAGACAATTTTCAAAAACGTTTAGATGAAAAAGTATACAAAAATTGAGAAAATTTTTGCAAAATAACTGTATAGCTAATTTTACGACGCACCTTTTGAGTAGTTACCGGATCATTTCCGTGGATTCATTGGCAGCGGGAGGAAATCACTGGTGTCGGTGTGACAGGCGTGAGAAACTTGTGAGAAAATTCGCCTCTATACCGGAGTGGACACCGGCGAACATGAGTGGTTTAGGAAGAGGAGGGGTGGTGTATCGCCTACCTTGAATTTAAATGGCCACGACTCATCGTTGCTAAGGCAGAAATCGCAGCGGCGCACAGTAAACAAGTCATCAAGAGAGGTCGGACATACAATTTCGATAAAAACTGTATATTTTGATGTGTATTTTATCACAATATAAATTTTAAATATAGCATCTTGAGGAAAATCCTCAAGAAAACCAATAGAATTACCTCCAAGCTTCTAAGTTTTGTGTTCATGAAAGTATACGCTTTTAAAATTTTCACATCATGTCTAACTTTTTGCTTTGACACGTTCCATTGTGCGGAGCTGTGACAGCGGGCATCAGGCCAGCCACACTGACAGCCTTCTTCGCCCTGATTCTCATTAGTTGCTGATCAATTTATTGTTGATGGTAGAATAATGGATGCTATTAATGAAACTGCATTTAACAAAAAAGAACCAATATCACTGCAATGCCACTAAGATAGTGCCAACTCTCGTATCTTGCAAGAAAAACCTAAAAATTTAACCAGTTTTGTACGCTATATAAAAATGTGAGTAAATTGAGAAAGCAACGCATTAATTTATTCTATTCATTGATCTACTTTAGATTCATTTATTCCTGACAAAGATTTTACCTAAGTATAGCAATATTGCAATGCAAATATTTCCCCTCTGCATTATAAAGTCTAGTCGTCGTAATCAGCTCGACCGTCTGGCTTCAGCTATAATATTCCCCAAAGCTCTGCCGTATCAAGAACGAGAGCAGTTTGTGCGAAGTACTTGTACCTATATGCGTTGTGCTCGCTAAACGGAACGTATCTCTTCAGCTACCTAAACCTCTGTAGATAGGTAAAAAGAGAAATATTTATAATCGAGGTGGGAAAATATTTTAAGACGTATCCACGGTAAAACAAATTTGCGGCGTTTTACGCACCTCGAAATTTTCGGCAGCTGGAGCCAAGATTTGCGGTCCCGGCTACCGAAATCCGTCAGAATTGCCGGAAGTCCAGGATAGCATTACCGAGCATTCAATAATTCTGCAAATATTCGGCAGCCAGGACCGCAAATCTCGGCTCCAGCTGCTGAAAATTGCGGGATGTGGATATCGCCGCAAATTTTCTACCGTGTATACAGGAGAATATTAAATGTAATTCGTGAAAGAAAGTCTTATAAAAATTTAAAGAAGTTAATTGTAGTTTTCAACGCTTAAACAGAGTTTACTTTTTTTTGTGGAACAAATTTCAAGTTTTACTTAAATATAAGTATTTAATTTTATTCGGAAAATTTCTTTTCCTAAATAGATTTTCCTCTTTGCTTTTTACACCTTCCTTAAGGTTTTTGAGGATAGCTTTTTCACAGTCGTTGCCATACCAAGGGAAATAACTGGGAAAATAAAACATTAGATAAAATATAAGGTGATTGTTTAAGCAAGTATAATCTTGAAGTGAAGTATTTAGAGAACAGGAAATATTCAAATTTCTATTACTGACAGTAAGAAATTCTTGTCGGAGGGCTTCTCTGCCAAACTCTAGTGGTCTCCAGTGATGATTGACAAGAACTCAGCAGATACTTCAAAACTTATGACAGGAGGCAGTTCATAACTCAAAATCAATTTTCAGAAAAATATTCTATATTTATTCTGGCCAACTAACTTCAAAAGCCCCGAAACCTTCCTCTTCCACCACCCCCAAATCTACGCCCCCCGGGACGATCTGTGATCGGTGGGGGACCCATTGGCCTGTATCGGTTTCTACCGCGAAAAGCGGACCCCATTCTGTTGCCCCCAAAAGGACCGGGTCCGGGTCCTGGGGGGCCCATGAACATTTTCCCACCAGGTCCATGAGGTATTTGGCCGTTGGGTTGGTCTCCGGGAAACCCACCACGAAACTGGCCTCCTTGAAAGTCCATCGGTGGTGGAGGTCCCGGAAAACCCCCGTTCGCCTCTTCCCCTGAGAACTCAGAGGAGTCCTGGAAACCTCCAGTAAATTGCATACCGGGCGGGGGTGGAGGGCCACGCCCAGGGCGAAAACCTCCTGGAGGCGGACCTCCAGGTGGACCTCTTGGCGGGCCCCGCGGTGGTCCCATTGATTGACCCATCGTGGCAGCAAACGGAGCTCCCATTGATTGACCTGGCATGACATTGATCGGAGGTCCCATGGATTGTGCCATCATAGCGTCCGGCGGAGGGCCCATCGTTGAATCCGTTGATGGATCGTCTGGAGGTCTCATGTCTGGAGGGGGAGGTGGTAGTGATTCGTTGACCATATCTTGTGAAACCATGAACTGAGGCGGAGGAGGTGGGCGATAGCCTGTTGTTTCGGGGGTCCCGAAGTCGTGAGGCGGGCCGTAGTCGGCAGTGCCGATGTCATTTTGGGGGGCTGGTGAAAGTTCTGCTTGTAAAACAATCTGGAGAAAAAAATTGATAGTAATAATAATAAAAAAATCGCAAGTAAAAATCATAATAAACAAATAGTTTAAGAGGAGACATGCAATTTAATATATCCCGAATGGATACGTAGGTATGTAATATCAAAGAATTAGGCAGTGTTTACTTTCAAAATTAAGAAATTTCCTGAGAGCAGTTACAGTTTTTACTGTGCAATAATGACGAAAAATTGACAGTATATGAGGATCATCCGAGGAGCTCTGTGAGTTTCGCTGTAATTCAGGAACTATTTGTGATCTACTGAGTTCCATTTTATTTGCAGAATGACAAGATGTTATGAAGGCCATATAAAAAAAAGTGAGAATTGGTCGAAGTCAAAAGTGAGAAACCCATTAAAGAAATTAAAACACCGTTTAGAAGAGCTATAGACTTCAAGGAGGTTCATTGAGTCAGCAAGTCAGCATCTTTGAGACTGAAAAATTAGGCTGAAGCTGTCAATTTGTTGAAGATTCTGGATTCACGGGACTTTCAATGAAAAATGTTTAGTCTTTTATGGTACCTTCATTAGAATAGCCGTACCTTACGTCTGAAAGTTACACACTTTATCTGCAGGGTTACAATGCCCCCATGGATTGTAGCAGTTGGAGAGTAAAAAATTACTGGAAAATTAGGAGAATTCCTTTCTCTTTAAACGTTATGAACGAACTCGATAGAAAAGTTTTTTGCCACATTAGTCCAACAAGCGTTCTTCAGAAACCTCGATATGAGTTATGTGCTTTTATAAACCGTTATTCGATATTTTTAATAATTTTTCCAGAAGAAGCAAACTTACATTTTTAGGATGGGGGGGGGGCAGTTTATGTATTTGCGGAGAAAATTTAAAGTCTTGACATACATCATTTTGTTTCCCCAATCGACTGTCATTCACTATCAGAAAACGATTACGGAACGATAATGTACCTTATCGTTTTACAAGACTTATCATATGTATACTATGTTATGTAAAACCATATGAGTAACGCGTAATGTATAGCACCCGAGGCGTGAAGTGCCTCAAGGGGGCCAATTAAGAGGCGTAGTCCCCTAATTATTTTAAAATTTACAAACTAAAGGAATCCGGACATAGAACCGCGAGGAATACTTTCAAAATTGATTATATTTTTATGCATGTTCTGAGTTTTTCGAGAAAAACAAAGGAGGAAAAAAAATGAAAATACTTGCCTGCAGAAAAACTGCTATGCTGAGATGAATCCACGGACGATTTCTCATGCTTATTCATGCGATTCTGCATCTGCTCGCACCTTGTGGTTTTAAAGAAGAGCTAAACAAAGTTGCAACACCAAAGGCTTGACTTGCGCATCAACGCATGCTATCAGACACGCGATATGCATATTGCGTGCGGCATTGTGTTAACTTGTGCATCATGTCGCTTTAGCCTCAGATGCGTGTTAACAAAGTGCTTGTAAACAGTGCAGTCGGAAATAAACAAGGTGTAAGGATAAAACTTTACTTCCACGATGCTCTAAGAACGATAGGTGGGATGCGCTTGACTATTTTTGAGTTCTGCGCGACGTTTTTCATTTTACACAGATGTTTTGACTAGAGCAAGCATCCTACGGAAGGGAGTAAGTTTTCAGTAATACTTTTGGCTGTTTTTTACCTTCGAATTTGTTCGAAATAAATCATTAGTTCCTCTTTTGATGCGCATTTCATATTTGCGTTCAGAAAACGAAACTTTTAAGACTTTTCAGACAGAAAAGTACCTAGTGCCCGGTTGCTTCGGGACATTTTTTTTTAAATGACCTGAAAATCAAGACATAAATATTTACATAATATGTGCCAGTAATTTTTAGTACTTTTTTGCTGGTGAAATGAACAATTATCGAAATTTCATCGAGAAGCAAAACAAAAATATTTCTCCCACATCCTTCATTGGCCCTATTTTAAAAGGATATAATGTTGTTAAATCAGGTTTCCTGTTTTTATCTCTTGAATACTGACCATTCATTTTTCCACCTTATTTTGGTTACATAAGCGTAAAGACGTCCCTATTATTAAGGAGTATTTGGGAATTTATTTTGCACAATGAAGCATGTAGTATATTTTCCACAAAAAAAATTTTTACAACAATTTTGTTTTACATGTTTTTCTTCCTGATGTCCTTAAACAAGTAATTATTAATGTAGACTTTCTGTGGATATGTGAATTTACTCCGCTGAGAAAAGAGGAAAGTCTTAGTTTTCAATTGAAAAAGTTTGCACGATAACTTATTGAAATAAGAAAAGGAAAGGAATTAAAACATGAAGAAAAATAAGGGGAGATGATTTTCTCCTCATTTTAACAAATCTTAAAACTTGATAAGACATTAAAATTGAAGAATTTATATAAAACTTGCATGCAGGCTATTAAATCTAAAAATCGTACGTTCCAAAGTTACTCAATGGGCCTGTTGCATGCAAGAGATACAGCCGCGCGAATAGACTTTTTAGAGGTTAAATGACACGAAAATTACGATGGTCACATTAAAAAAGTCTGAAATACACTCCTTACTGCGCAATTTGCGTTGTTAGGAACGCGCTTTTTCAAATTTCCCGCGTCTGGGGGCAGTTTTCTAATCACCGGAAACGAGCAAACGGCGGGCTCGAAGATTTCCGGAAGATGCCGAGTCGTTGTTGTTGTTGTTATTTTTTCCTTCAGTTTGTTTACAAACCCAACGTGATCTCTTATAGTGGTCCATATACGCTTTATGCGGTAACCAAATCGATCAACTTTTAAATATCCAACGCAATCCTTCTACATTTCCTTTCACGATATCACGAGCTCCGATTTTTAGGTTATGTTGTCAGTTTTAGTTGACCGGAAATAGCCGCGAGTTGCCGTTAATTGTTTCCGTAAGAAAACTGCCCCCAGACGCGGGAAATTTGAAAAAGCACGTTCCTAACAACGCAAATTGCACAGTTAGGAGTGTATTTCAGACTTTTTTAATGTGACCATCGTAATTTTCGTGTCATTTAACCTCTGAAAAGTCTATTCGCACGGCTGTATCTCTTGCATGCAACAGGCCCATTGTTTAAAATGGATTACGAGGAAAAAATAAAAACAATGTACTTTTGAGCAAGTGACTAAACTTCTTATTTATTCAACAATTTTCTTAATTACAATATAAAATATTCACAAATACTGAAGGGATCATTTTCAAAATTTAAAACATTCTGTCCTTGGATTTAAATCATCGTTGGAATTGTGTATGCAATCAATCGTAGATGCATCCATTTCTTATTTATTATATTTCATACACGCGCCACCACTGTACATACACTTATTCAAAATAATCAACAGTGGATGGTGGATGCCAATATCATTGAAATGTTTATTGTATTTACTGAAAAAGAGCTTTGTAAATTCTAAGGCAATCCATCAACGAGGAACGCACAATCCACCCACTCTACCACGACTGAAGACAATATGCCAAAGTTGAAGTCGTCTGGCGCGAAACGCACCAGCAGCGCAATTAAGATAAAACGTGAACATACGCTTGAAACGCTCGTTGTGATTTTGCGACAGCTGCGGCCAAGCGTCGACGAAGCGCTCGTACCATGCCATCATAGTTTTGTCGAAGTCGGCACCCATGTTGTGCAAGTCCTCCACCACGAAGAAGGGTTCGCTGGCCTCGGCGATTTGCTTGAGCGACGGGAAACACCCGTTGGGGAAGAGGTACTTGTCGAACCAGTCGTCGTGTCGCTCGACGGTTTTGTTGGACGAGATGACGTGCAAGACGAAGATCCCGTCCGGGCCGAGGCAGCGGTCGACGACGTCGAAGAAGTTGGCGTAGTTCTTGGGGCCCACGTGCTCGATCATCTCGACGGAGACGACGCGGTCGAACTGTCCCTCCAGATCCCGGTAGTCCTTGAGGAGGATGCTCACGTCGAGGCCCTTGCAGTGCTCCCGGGCGAATCTCTCCTGTTCCCTGGAGAGGGTGACCCCGGTGACGCTGACGTCGTAATTGCGGGCCATGAAGGCGGCCAACCCCCCGAAACCGCAGCCGACGTCCAGGACGCGCATCCCCGGTTTCAGGTGGAGCTTCTCGCAGATGAGACGAATCTTGTTCTCCTCGGACTCCTCGAAGGTCGTCGCGTTCCGCCAATAACCGCACGAGTACTGCATGTGCGGACCCAGCATCCGGACGAAGAGGTCGTTCCCGAGATTGTAGTGCACCTCGTTCACTTTCCACGCCAGAGTTTTCGTCTGCAGATTAAAGAATTTTACATATATGATTTTGATGATGTCGCTTAACCTGAAGGGCGCGTAGTCATTTAGAATTTCCGCCTGGGAATCAACCATCTGCATTGACACACATCGAATGACGTCACGCATGTTTTTGGGTTGAACAGCATCGTCTAAGTTGTGCTTCAAAACCCGATGGAAGAAACCATCGAGGGATTGGCACTCCCACCATCCATCCATGTAGCCCTCACCCAGACCCAAGGAACCATCTTGAATCACGCGCTTAAAAATAGCAGGATTTATTACTTTAAAATCCCACGGGCGTGTACCATTGATCAAGATGTCTGCCTTCCTGAAAGCATTTTTGAAGGTATTAAGAAAATCAGGATCGTCTCTACCCATGTTTTCTGCTTTCCTCTAGGAAATATTCACCATGGGTCCCACAATCTGAAAGAAAATAATAGGTATACTGACAATGAGATAACTTGTGAATATGAACATAAAAAATAGTACAAGACAACCATTCGCCGACGGAACCTACCTTCCCATAAACCAATACTTAGGCAAATGACTTCTTTTTATTTTGATGTATTTCTACCAAACGGAACTATGTGCATTATGACGTGATCCCTGTTATGCATATATTCTTACGAGTCTCAGGGCTCATGTCTTAATGTACATAGTTCCGTTTGGCAAAAACATGTCCGTTGCTTCCACCTCCCCGTCAACCTTTTACTAGACGTCCTTATAGCCTTCCACCAGCGAGACCCCAATCAAGTGCCTCTTGGGGAATCTGATCCTCCGCACAGGCCCACCACATCCCATCTCGGGCCCTATTACCAGTTTGAAGGTCCGGGCCCCAAGCACGGATGGAGGGAGGGGGGGTCCGAGGGGCATCACCCGAGAAATTTTAGAATTTATACGACTAATGGACGCATTTTGAAGCTTCCATACAGAATTTTTCCATCAATTTCTGCGGAATAATTATGTATTTTTGGTATACTTTCAGCACAAAATACTTGCGAATTGTTGCATTCAAAACATCTGGATTTTTTTTTTTTTTTTTTTTTTTTTTTTTTTTTTTTTTTTTGGGAGGGGAGCATATGATACTATTTTCAGCTCTAAGAGGGCCAGGCCCCCCTGGACTCCCCCTTCGTTTGTCTATGGCAAGGGAGATGAGCCATGAGCCATTGAAGTCGAGGATGCCCAGACTGGAGACTTTTGAATTTTCTAAGAAGTATACTCATTTGAAAATTCAAGAAGAATTCTACAGTGTCCCAGCGTGTTTCTGAAAATCTATTAAACCCTTGCGAAATTTTTAGGGTAAATTTTTCACTTTTTCTTACAAAACAAAGGTTGCATGTGAATTCGTAGTGGTTTTTCACGGGTAACACGGCCCCCCTCCGGGGTCCGGGCTCCGGTTCCAGGGACCCAGTATCCCCCTCTTGTGGTGGACCTATGCATTCATGCACGCTTCGGGCTTGTCGATTTCCTTTGATCTTTTTGCAGTGGTGAATGCATAGCTGAAGTGCGCTACAGCTAGAATTGTATATAGCAAATGGGTAATTTTTATAGGAGGATTATAAATAAACAAGGGGTTAGAAATGAAAACAAAATACCATGAACTATGTCAAACGATTATTCAGTTATCGGAACTTGGCTGTTTTGAAAACGCTTTCAAATGCGGCGTGATACCTCACGCATTCCGGAGAGTTCAAATAGTTGTATCATTGCGCAGTAAGAATGTAACGGAAGATTTGAATGGAGATAGCCTCTATGCACGCTGGGCTCGTCGATTTCCTCTGAAATTTTTGCAGTGGTGAATGCATAGCTGAAGTGCGCTACAGCTAGAATTGTATATAGCAAATGGGTAATTTTTATAGGAGGATTATAAATAAACAAGGGGTTAGAAATGAAAACAAAATACCATGAACTATGCCAAACGATTATTCAGTTATCGGAACTTGGCTGATTTAAAAACGCCTTCAAATGCGGCGTGATACCTCACGCATTCCGGAGAGTTCAAATAGTTGTATCATTGCGCCTTAGAAATGCGACGGAAGATTGCAATTAAAATAGCCTTCATGCACGCTGGCCTTTCCGATTTCCGTTAACATTTTTGCAGTCATGAATGCGCTCAAGTGTGCTTCAGCTAGAATTGTATTTGACAAATGAGTGGCTTTTATAGGAGGATTATAATTAAACAAGTGGTTAGAAATGGAAACAAAATAATATGAACTATGCAAAACGATTATTCCGATAACGGAACTTGGCTGTTTTGAAAACGCCTTCAAATGCGGCGTGATACCTCACGCATTCCGGAGAGTTCAAATA